CCCTACCAAAGCTAAATTCCTAAATCCACATTTTCCATCTCAATCTCCTTTTACTTCCAATCTTTCTCCTGCTTTCAGCTTTATTGTCCAAGTCCTAAATATTCTGTGTATATAGCTGCTTACAGGTTCTAGTCACGGTGCATGTCCAATAGCTCCACATCCTACCCTCAATCTCTGAACTAGTCATCCAGTTTTAAGGATCTTTCCAGTCTCTTTAACCACTTCATACTAGCTCTCCTCCCTGGATGTGTCTGATTATTCTTCACTCCCTCTCCTCACTTTATTATTTTTCAGTCTCTGATTTCTTGCATTGCCCCAGCTTTCTCAGGTGCCACATCCACACTCTGTTTCTCCCTTCACTGATTCCCAATCTCGCCATTTCCTACTTACAGTCTCCTCTGACAACCAATCCTCCTCATTGCAAATTCTTGTCCATCCAACATCCCTATTCTTCACTTGTCTTCTGGTTCTTTATTAACTTTACTTCTCCTACCTATTTCACTAGGATTATGCTGCCTCATCCAAATTGTAATCTCAGTATCCTCTCTTTATTGATCCTGGAGTTAAAACCTTTGAACTGCCTTCTCTCAGTACATTCTCTCCTCACACCTACATTGTAGTTCCTCTCCTTCAGCATCGTCCACTGTTATCCCTGTGACGACAGGATAATAGCACACTATAGGCAGTCTCCATTAATTTCAAGATTCTTTGCCTGGACTTGCCTCACAATAATGAAAAATACTAATGAATCTAGATTAGAACATGCCTCAGTCAGATGATATGAGACCTCAGATGCCAAATTCTGAAAAGTCTCTATTCAGCTCTAATGAGCTAATTTCTTTTTTTTGAAGCTTAAAGTATGCTTCATTTGGACACATTTCCTGGGAACAATCAAAAGCATGCAACAACACACAGACTGACATGCCCATTAAACATTAAGTCCCTTACTTTACTGTACCAGGGGTATAGGACTTTTAAAACAAAATACATGGATTTTAATGTGGATAAAACGTCTTTTTCTCTAGCCTTCTCAGGAGTGGCTTAGACACCTTAGCTAAAGCATTAAAAAAAAATTATGTCCACTTCGAATGACATGCTTATTCATTTGAATGAAATGTTCATCTTGAATGAAATGTTTAAATCCAAACAACCAGAGTTTGAAATTTGTAAGTAACAGAAAACAAGATATTTTAACTGGATGCCATTATCTATAGGTTAGCTTTATTTTCCCTTCACAAATCCAGCACTGCATTTGAGAACAGATTATGTCAACTGCATCTATAGAAAATAATAAAAGACTTCTAACACAACACAGTTGTAATTTTGGAAGTGAGAACATATTCCTTGCCACTACAGGAATAATAATTCCTGTATCCATCTCCTCTACTCCCATAATATAAAAAAAGATGCAACATACAATATAGGATATATACTATAAAGGATGTTTTCCTGATTCCATCATCATCATCTTATGATGCTGAGAGGTGCTGCCACCACCTTAGTGGATCACAGATATAACTGATACGCTCAGGCACTGCACATTGGTACCAACACACATTGTTCAGCTGACAGTATGTGCTGTCACTGAAACTTGCTTGCAAGAGCTCTATTACATAACTTTAAAATGCCAAAACCCTCCAATAATTAAAGAAAACAGATGTTTTGCACTTGAAATATCAAAACTGTCAAAAGTGTATTTATTTGCATTCAACACTTTTTCTTTCAACCCATAAGAAAAAAAAAGAAAAAGAAAAATGCTGTAACATTACAATTAACCTATTGAATTTTATTACAAAAACTGTCTCTGTAACTCACCAATTTTTTCATCCAAAAGCATAATTTTCTCTTGGGTAAGTTGCATTTCATATTTTTTCTTAACAAGGCTTTGCTGAGTCTCTGAAAGACTCTGTTCTGTCTTTTCATTCAATAAACTGGAAAAGCAGAAGCATTAAACAGGAGAATTCAGAAGTTTATATATTAATTTTTTCCTTTTTGAAATGTCACTGAAATTGCAAAAGTTAAGAAAAAGCAAGATTCTTCTGTATATTTTAGCCTATTTGGGATATTTTATTAATGTTAACCTTAATCACTGGATATTGAAGTCTGAATATTCCTGTCAAGAATCCCAGAAAAGTGAGAAGCATTCTTTACAACACATGGACGTAAAAACTTCTCAGAAATTATTAAAATAAAAATCATCACTTGGGACATACATTTGAATGCTTGACCTATTTCAAGTTATACTCAAGCCATACGTTCAAATCAAGTAGTAATACTAATGATTCTCAAACTGTTGAAGAAACTGAAGAGAACTATCAGCCTGGGTTGGGGGAGGAAAGAAAAAGATACTTTAGTAGCAGCAACTAATCTTCAACACCTCAATTTTTACAGTATTCAGAAATCTGACAACTTATTATAAAGCAACAGCTCAGGACTGGATTTGCAAAGGCGTTCATGTTATTTTAGAAATCACAGTATCCTTAGAAAGGCATTGTGGGCCAGCATAATATTGCACACTAGCACCCAGCATTCCCACCAATCAAGATCCAACAAAAAAACCTGCAACACCCGTGTATCGACTACACCAGTCACTTGTAAGGACACATAGGTTTAGGAGAGTGTTTGCCTAACTGAATTATATTTAAGGAAATACAAGAGGAAAAAGTCGCAGTATCTTGTCTTGCAGTCTGTTCACTCTGTAGTCTAGTTCAGTCTGTGAGCTAGTCCTTCCTATCTCTTTGCACAAACTTCACACGTGCTTGATCTTTCCCTCCAGCCAGTAAATTATCCTTTTTTTATCTTGCACTCACTGACCTATGCTTTCTTCCCTAAAGGCTTCAATTGAGTCTAGTCCCCCTACATGCTTCTGAACATGGTTAAGAACTCCAGGTGAACAGCAGGCCATAAACGCTATGCAAGGCTTCAGTTTTATTTCCTCTCATGAAAACGCTCCAAGACTAAGAAAGGGATGTTTGAAACTAACTACACCTGACACTCTTTATGCGTGTTTGCTTGCCTGTATAAAAACAACAACAAAAATGAAAAAAAAAATTTAATTCATATGCAATATACCAAAAAACATCAATCCCTGCAGCTTCTAATAGAAAGCTCCTAACTCTAAGTCAGAGTGAATTTTACTTTTTCACTGAAAGTGGTTTTCAGCATATCATAATATCAACAAGCCAAGAACATTTACATATAAATAAGCAACAAGGAAAACAATTTCATTCCAAAAAGAAGGATGGCTTATAAGAACAACTATCATAAATTCCTTTCCCTTCGAGCTATATAATAGTTATGAAAACCAACGAACATAGGCTGACGCTACTCGTCAAACTAATGCAATTTTATACTTTTACTTACCTAAGTGAAATATATTCAGCTTCCTGTCGGCTCAGCTCAGTTTCAGAGTCCAGTGCTCTTCTTGCCAATCTTTTAATCTCGGTTTCCAGAGAATCAATGGTGTCTTTCATCAGTGCCACTTTGGACATCTGTTCTAACCGTTCACTATCTAACTATAAATATAATTAAATATTAAAAGCTGAAAAAAGCTGATTTATACATAGAATTTCTGCTATTAATTCAAATTCTACTCTGTTTTTAGCACAGATCTTTTACTGAAGGAGAAATGTCCAAGTATCTCATTTACTCAGGGCCTGACTCCAAGTCTTCTGAAGGTAGTTGGCAAAGAGCTGAAATGCGATTTTCACTTGCTTTGAAGGACAATCAATTTCCTGTCTTTCAGATCTCTGGGAATATTTTCATTTATTAAAGTAAATTTTAGGTTGGTAATTATGCCAAGGGCAAAAATGTTTGGCATTGATCAACATGAAAAGTTTTCAGTGCAAAATAACATAACAGAAAGCATTATTATTAGTGTGTGAAGGGAGAAATCACAGTTTGGGATACAACACTACCAATGATGGATTTAGGCCTCTACTAAGTTATATAGCTGTGCTGATAACTGGATAAAGAAATCACTATAAAACATTTGCATAAAGCACTCTATGACCAAGTTACCACTATGAGACCTTTAGGTCTGGACCTAGAACAAAGAACGGGTCCAGAAATGCTTGCACAGACTCCAGCAAAGCTAGTTTGAAATCTCCAGTTTAAAGAAAGCTGCATTTCATTATTATAATGCTTACACGTAACATGTAAAGAACTGCCCTTTCTAAATTATTTGAAACAGCTCTTTTTAAGGTAAAAAATTCTCATCTCATCTCTCTCCTCATTTACTGATTCTTTCAGTACTAATTTCGGTGTCACTGACTGCTGAAAAGGAAGTCAGTAAGCCTCTGGTATGCAGTAACTTTTTCAATATTAGTGCCATAAATTTCATATTGATGTATCACCCTCAAAGGGTACCAAATGAACTGAAGAAATAAGATAATATAATAAGAGATATAAAGATGATATAATAAGATGATATAAATAAGAGATAAAACAGGACTATTCCCAATACTCACTACACATCATTTGTCAAGTGTGTGATTAAAGCTAATTTACTACTCGGAGTACTCAGAGCTATTTAAGCCTACTGTGTACTCTTCATCACAGATGCAATCAGTTTAATATTATAATCCTTGGAACTATACTTATAAGCTTGGTAAGATTTAAAAGGCTGAATGGGAAAAAGAAAATGAACCAGAACTTATAACCACAAGATCTAGAAGAAAGATACAATACAGAAATCAATGTTAATCTATTTAAAAATCAGGTTCTACCAAGACTGTAAATATATTAAGATTTATATTAATTTTATTAATGTTTTCATTTTCTATTTTAGCACTGTATGTTAGCAAACAATTGCACACACAAGTAACTTAAACCATTTAAACAGGACTTGCCAGAAAGGTACAATTACGTTTGGTTTTGGAGCATCAGGTCTTAATGATATACAATCATAAGATAATTCACATTGGAATGCACTCCAGGAGGTCTCTAGTCTACACTCCTACTCAAAGCAGGGCCAGCTCTGAGGTCAGGTTCCTCAGGACTTTGTCCAGTCCGGTCTTGAAAATCTCCAAGGCTGGTGACTGCTTGACTGTCTTCATGGGAAAGAAGTATTTCCTTGTATTCAGCCTGAACCCTTCTCATTTCAACTGATGCCCATTGTTGCTCATCCTTCCACTAGGCACCGCTGTGAAAAGCCTGTTTCTGACTTCTTGAGGAGTACTGGCAAGTAAGACTTAGGTCTCCTGTAAGCCACCTCTACTCTAGGTAGAACAAGCCCAGTTCCACTAGCCTCCTCTCATAGGGAAAGTGTTCCAGCCCCAAGTATTGTGGGAGCCCTCCATTAAAGTCCCTCCAGTTTGGCAATGTGTTTCTTGTACCGTGGTGGCAAAACTGGATGTGGTGTATTCCAGATGTGGTCTAATAAGTGCTCGGTAAAGGTAGACAACCACTTCCCTTGAGCTACCGGCTGTGTCCTGTTCATGCAGCCTAGTACACTCTTGGCCTTCTTTGCCACGATGGCATACTGGTGGCTCATGTACAGCTTGCTGTACACCAGGGCCTCCAGGGCCTGAATTTCCAGCAGAGCTGCTCTCAAACCCATTGGTCCCCAACCTGTATTGGTGCCAGTGTCTCTCCTTCCCAAATTCAGAACTTGGCATTCATCCTTGTTGGATTTCATAAGTTCCCTGTTGTCCATTCTTCCTACCTGTCTTGGTCCCTGTGGATGACAGACCGGCTCTTGAGTACATCAAGAGTTTTCCCTAATTTGGTGTCATCTGCAAGCTTTATGAGCACACATGCTGTTACCTCCTTCAGGGCACTGATAAAGATGTTAAACAGGACAGGCCTCAGAACAAACACCTGTGGTGCTCCACGTTAACACTCTCCAGGCCAAGTACGACCCACTAACTGCTACCTGATAAGACTGACCATCCAATCAAATTTTCCCCCATCTAGCTGCCCACCCATCCAGACCATAACATCCAAACCTGGAAACAAGAACACTGTGGGTAACAGTGTCAAAAGCCTTGCTACAGTCTTGGTAAATAACATCTACTGCTCTCAGCCTATTGTTTCCTGAGAGAAAGCAGCCAGGTTGGTCCTGCAGGATTAACCATGAACATCACCTGTATTACATTTACAATTCCATAAATAATTATTTTCCCTTACATTTTGAATAGTAGTTTCTAGCTCTTCAAGTCTCTGTTCCAAATGAGCCTTTTCATTAAACGCAGTCTCTTGGGAAATCTGTATCAAATAACAACAACAACAAAATCACACATAGTCTGAACTCACCACAGACATGTAATGCAATTAACTCTCAGGATTAGAATAGAAATCTTTAGCAACTTTAATTACAATACTAAGTAGCTTTCATGTTAAAATAACCTTGGGCAGGGTGGGGGGCAGAATCAAACCTTCAACTGCTCCCTGAGGCTATCTCGTTCTGTAGTCATCCTTTGGAAATCTGACAGTGCCGTATCCCTTTCTATCTCCACGCGTCTTAACATAGCTTGAGCTGTCACAGTACTTTTAGGAGTCCTGGGGCATTTGATAACTTCCTGACGAAGTTGGGAAATATCTTCCTGTGCCTGTTTTTAAAAACAGCAGCATAACAAAAACATGGAATAGATAATGTAATATATTACTGTGGCGTATGGCTGGTAATGCAGAGCATCCCAGAAACTGTGCAGTATCAAAGATGAAGTAACGATTTGTGCATACATTCTTTGACTCAGGAAAGCATTCTTAACTCAGGATAGCGCTTACAAACTTGTATTTAACTGATAGCTTCAAATCCCAGAATTTCCATGATTTTTTTTCTATTTTTTAAACAAATGCTTTGCATTTTTTCTTTTTTACACAAAAACAAAAATTTTTTTCCTTGCACATCACCTTAAGTTATTTTAATTAATCATACAAATATAAATAAAATTACCCGTTCGTAAAGACTGACAATTTTGTCTCTCTCAGCTGTTAAAACTTTGAAGTTACCCTGAATTTCTGCCACACGGCGCTCGTATTTTTTCAGCATTGACTTAAGTTCTTCACGTTCTCTCAATATTTTCAAAACTTCTGGATCAGAACTCACTCCCTGAAAGAATAAGGTGATATAAGGTTACAGCAGAGAAACAAAACTTGGTATGCCTTCTTCTTATTTCTGGTTTGGAAATTTCTATAAAAGATTTAATAAGCCTTCAACCTAGTAACCTCTAGACAGTCAAGACTGTACATATATATTTCTTAGTATTAGAGATCAGATATACATACCATTTTCTAAAACACACTAAATACAGTAAAATACATTATTTTGAGCAGCAAATGTCTATCACAGATGGTACTGCCATCATGTTAATAATTACTTAAAATGTAAGCAGTTGTTGGTAACCATTTAAAGTGATATACATGCGTGCCGTGTAAAGTGGCAGTTAAGTTCACATTATTGGCCCATTCCTATCTTACGCATCCTTCTGTTTATAATCCAATAGTTTTTCTTCCTGGTAATTATGGCTTTGGTAGTTTAGCATAAGATAAACCAACATTTTAAAAAAATGCATTCCTCCTCTTCCAAAGTGTTTTCCCAAGCTCACCTGGATGGATGAAAATTTTTTTGACATGCTGCCACAAGTAGAGGTTTGCTTAGGACTTGAAAATGCGTTTCTAAATACCTTCAGCAAATTCTCAGTCTCACATTTATAGTAGTCTCTGTCCTCTTCCAATGTCTTTATAAAGCTATCAAGCCTTGAAGGTGACTTCCCTTGCTTTACTTCAGCTTCTGTTTGTAAAATAACCTGCATGTGCAAAAATGAGAGAATTGGTTCACTGAAACAGAACTTTTGTAATGAATGATACTTCAATGTAAAATGGATAAACATACTCTTCAAAAAGAAGATGAAGCAGATATCTAATTAAAATATATATCTATTTAATACTTTAAAGTAACTTCTGAATGTCTGTACTTTCTCTTTTTTGTTATATGGCAGAATATGTCTGAATGTCCTTCTAAAATGGATCTGACAGGACAGAAAAGGACATAAAAGCTAAATGTTAATTAACTTGGAATATATCTGTTCAAAACTAAGGAGGATAATTAAGTAGATCAGTATCGGAATATCTAATGAATTTTTCAATTTGAAAGAAATTAGGCCACTATGTTTGCTTAAGATCCATGAAAGGTGAATTTTTGAAATGGAAATAAAGCAATGTGCAAATAAGTATAGTTGAAATACAGGAAGTCATGTAGGGGCCTAAAACTAATTTTGAAGATGAACTGCAATTCCAGAGTTCAAAATTGCAAAGTTCAAATCCCCCTCCATTATGATCTACCTGTTGGAAGTACCTGGACTCATGAAAGTTTAAGCACCTAGGGAATACTAAATTCTGCAAATTTATTATTTTTGTTAAGATGCATGCAGAAGTAGGTCTTCAAATCCCTGACAAGTTACAAATTAATCACCTAAATCTCTCAGTGAATTTACCTCTCAAATCCCAAACTTTCTGGCTAAAGTATCAAAATCTTTCCATGGTAATTAAGCAGTAAGCTCTATATGGTCAGAGTGTTTTTTTTCCAGAGAGGGTTCTTTGCAGGATTGTGGCATAAGCTCAAATATTTTACACAGGAAAAAAAAAAAAACCAAAAACAACCCCTCCCACCTCCCTGAAATTTTAGACAAATCTTTAAATTACAGTAAGAAATTATTATCTTGAACACATCAGAAAGTTCCCTATCAATTTATACTGGAAGCAAGTGAATGAGTCCACTTAATAAATTCAAAGGCTAATTTAAGTTAGATTTACCACTGGCAAATATTTCTACAATTACAACATTGTATAAATTTCAAAATATTCCAACAGTATCGTTACACCTTAAGGAAGACAAAATAATAAGATAAAAATCTCAAAGAAAAAAAATGTTACTTCTTTCTGTTTTGCAAGTGATTTACAAGGTATTCAAAACAGTTATATGCAATTTTGTAAAAAAAGTTACTAAGATTCTCAAAAGCAAAATCATTACAGGCTAGTTGCAAAACAGAAACAGATTCCCATCCATCTAGAGACAGAGAACTACAAATGAAAACAGATATGTTTATCCATTCTATGACTTGCCTGTTATCAGTGAAAACAAAGCAAGTGAAATTCACTTGAACAAGTATTAATTTCATGTGGAAATGGCCTGATTTCATAGCTACATATATGTTAAGGATACATGTTTAACTCACAGATTTTTGTGTTTTCACTGTGTGTTCCAGCTTCTTTATCTTGTTTTGCTGGTGTCGAATTTGAAACTACCGTAAAAAAATTGAGAGCAAGAGATGCATTAATTTTGTGTAATCACTAGTGCAAATCCAGCATTTTAGCTCAGCTGTTCTAGTCCAAAGGAGCATTTTGTACATCTTTTCTAGTTCGACTAGGCTAAAACCATACTATTTAGTAACAATAAACTTAATCTAGAAGGGAATCAGTTAAATGTTTTATCTTCAGATGCAGTCCAGGATTAGGCAAAAGCAGTAACAGTTGAGTTACTTTCAGGTGAGTGAATGAAAAAGGAAGCATGAGATACCTTTTCCCAGAACTGTCTTACCGAGAAACTTTTGAAAACAGGGACAGTTTGACTATACCTGTGGGCTAAAGAAATAAGTATGTGGTTACACCAATTGCAAACAAAGAACATGCTTTCTCTCATCTGACCAGTACTACTAAATCACATAATTGCATGTGCGTAGAACGTGATTTTCCATTATCCTGTGAAATCAAAAGCAGTTTTCACTGAAATTACATTCTTTCCAACTGCAAGCATGATTTTAATCCTTCAACCATTCTACACTTGAAAAATACCACACTGGCCAGAACCTGCTCCTCCTTCATCCCAGCAAATATACTTCAAAGCAGAGATGAAAGCTAGAAATTCAACCCAAAAGGTCAAAAAAACCCAACCCCATAATATTAGCAAACATTAAAATATCACTGCACAATATTAATTCTAATGAGTAGATACCTTTGCTTCCTCAAGCTCCTTATCAGCAGTATTCAATAGCAATTCTTTTTCCAGCTGCTCAGATAGTTTGCCAATTACAGCCAGTTCTTTACACAGATAATCATTTTTACAAGTGAAGCTATCCACTTGACTTTCCACCGCTTGCTTCTTACCAAGCAGTTGTATGACATGTTGCCTTAGCTCATGGTTTATCTTCTTCAGATCTTCAATCTATGAGGACAAGGAGTAAGAAATTATTTTACTTCATCTTCAAGGATTTGCAGAAAGTATTTCATAATAAGAAGTAATTTACACTTAAAAAAAAGTCAATATACGTTATTCACAAATGAAGAATATGCACACTACTAGCACCATTTTGAACAGATTAATTTTGAAGGGTTCTGGACAATGGAGAATCTGATCCTGAATATTTATGCTAAAAACTGTCTCAAACTGGGCTGCCACTACAGTTATTCTCCAATAGTACTGTGAGAGGAAATGTCTCTCCAGGCCTGGTCTCAGGTTCCCAACGCCCTTACTCACTGTGGTTCTTTTAGATCTTAGGAATGCCCTTCAATCATTTTCTTTGAGTTGGGCCCATTGTCCTTCACACATACTTCACAAAGGCCAGCAGAAATGTAACAGATCAAGTATTAATACTAATTCATCAATTAATCAATATAAGATTAATAATTTTCCTGAAATAATATTGTCTTTTAAAAAAATATTATATGGCCTTTTTGTAAGAAACCAGAAGTTGCTAACTATTTTGGCACTATCAACTTATCATAACATCTCAGTCTACAGGAGCATTACAGCCTCATACAGCTTTTCAATTTTGTGAGTCCTTGGATTTCTACAATTCCAACCTAATCAAGATATGGATACAGTGTGATGCAGAAACTCCATTGTTTGCACAGGCTGATCCTGTAATGCATGAGAAATCACTATAGCTGAATACTGAATTCTGCAAGGTTCACCTGATTCTAATAGTCAAAGAGTTTCCTTCAGGTACTACTAGCAGTGCACAAAAATACATTTTGAATTATTTAGGAAGACCTGAAAGATGCTTTGTGACTAGAAGCTTTCTGAGTGGGCTCTGTCCTGTGACATTCTGTGGTAGTTCATTTTGCCACTTCTTCTGTTCAATGGGTGTACAAATATATTGGGAGAGTCAGTGAAAAAATTATGAACTTATTTTCATTTTAATTTTATTTTTATGTTTTCATCAAGCCAGATCCAGCTAATGCTACTGAATTAATAACAAAGCACAGTTATAAAAACCTGAAAACGTGATAATTATGGATCGATTGAGTGGAAAAGTAGGGGTTTTTTAAAACAAACAAACAAACAAAAACACTACAGAAAGCATTCACAAAGAGCAGCAGACAGCATCTGTACCTCTGTGTTTTGGGATTCCTGCACTTTTATTAAGTTACAAAATTTGGAGAGAATACAGCTCTGCTATTACTGGAGGAAGTTCACAACGATGCCTGCTTTCCATGGTGGGAAGAGGAGTGCTATTGAAGGGCAGGGAGGCTAAATCCTACTCTACATCTGAACATACAAACAACACTTAAAATGACAAAACTGAAGTCTGAGTCATGTCTACACCCTCAAGTCTCAAGTAACTGACTAGACCAAAAGTGGTTTTGTTGCTCCATACAGCCAGCCTGTACCATATCGTAAGGGTCTTTTCCAACCTAAATGATTCTATGAGTCTATGATTTCCGCCCCCATCGTCTCTTGGATAACCAAGAAAGTTCTGGCAAGCACTCAGAGATATCATATTTAGACTGTAAAATTAAGGGTTCTTCATGGAAAACACCATTTTAGCAATTTACTCTGCTTTATACAGGCAGGAATTATAATTTGAGCACCTTAACTAATTACAATTGTGCTCACAATGCTATACGATGAAAGTGGTCTGTAAGCAGGCAAACTTACCAATCACTTAAGGCTTTATAGACTCAAAAACCAATACCACACTATCAAAAAATACTCATAGCCATAAAAAAATCATAAAGTACAAACCACCTTTGCTCCTGTCATGTCATTGCATTCTGCCCTAGCTCATGACAGCTTGTTCCAGTAATATAAACTGGGGAGAATGCTACCATTTAACTTCCTAGGCACAAAAGGATGGAGAAAAGCATCTTTTTGTATTTCAGCTATATCAAAATAGAGGAAATACATGACATTAAGAGACAGGGACATAACTTATGAATTATCTCTATCTATCAGCATCCTCTCAAATATAGAGCAAGGCCAGAAACATTTGTAAGTGTTCAAATTCTGTTCAGTTCAGCTGAACATAGGGATATGGAGCTAGTTATCATCAACTCACAGTACCACCGCTTATGTTTCCTTACAAATCCACAAACACTTTGAAATACAAGAATGAAGAAAAAGATGGACTGCTCTTTGACAGCTTTCTCAGAATAACTGTGATAAAGTAGGGTCGCTGGAATGAGTCCCCCAGTGAAAGATGAATGAGCCACAGCGAGACGGGGCGTGTGGCAAGCACACCAGTGCCTCCCAGTGCTACTCAATGCCTGACAGCCTGCTCCTGTTGTAACACGGGAAGCGGCCCACAGGTCTAACATCAGAACGCGAACATTCAGTTACTCGCCAGCAGGAAGTTATCACCACCAGCATGACCACAACAGTTTCTCTCCATGCTCAGGTTCAAGAGTTTCAAGAAAATTTAGGGCAGCTGGTTCACCGAGTTATTTCCCTACCACATTCAACTTCATCTGAATCAAATCTCTGCCACCGAGTATCAGTCTGACCATCAGCCTCAAAGTGGTTTTAAGCACCAATATAAGTGATAGTCTGTTTAGGAGTAAGCTGACTTAATTTTGGGTATCTGCAAAGATGTATTTCTAGAAAGTGATTCCCATGATCGATTTTAGGCATTCACCCTAAAATTAATCATGTCCTAGGAGTATCTCTGACGATAAAGACAGCCTAGACGTCTCTATTACAGTCATCATCACCGTTGACACATCATAACTGATGAGGTGAATCCCATCCTAATAGTCTCTTCTCTCTGAAAGAGGCACTCACAGCTTTCTCCAGTTATATGCATTGCCCTAGGCTTTCCAGAAAGAGAAGAGAACAGATCAGAGTAATTTGCAAGCTATCGGTACCTTCAGTTCCTCGCTGAGCATTGAGGGCTCAAATTTACAGATAGAATACATAGTATTTGCTCACTCACAATACTACTTTGACTCAATTTGTGAAAGAGAACTTTTTGAAAGACATGATCACGTTTATATTTCCTAAAATAACTATTATTTATGCTTGCCATAAAGTGGAAAGATTTAATTACTGCTGTTGACACATTTCACCACCATCCTCTGAACAGCAATAATGCAACCCCCTTGCAACTGGGGTGAAACCTCGCACGAAGACCACTCTAAGCTTCACGCAGCACTGAAGACACTTGCAGCGGGCCTTGCAGCACGACCAAAAGAATTCAGAATTAGTAAACTTTTTGAACTGATTGAGTCCCCAAAACTGGTTTTGAGTTCCGAGCGTTTCAGTGATTAAACACTTAGGATGCTCCTTTCCTCCTTGTTCTCCACAGCAACGGTACCTGCGACGCCCGCACCCCCTTGCGCCGCCGCCCCCCGCACCCCTCGCCCTCAGCCGCCCGACGCACACCCCGCCCGGGCGGGGCGCCGAGGCGAGTCCCGCCGGTCTCTACCTTGGGGCGACTC